ATCTTTCACTCTATTGCAAGTCAGTGATTCACTTAGTATCTGACAGAGGATGGCAGGCCAGTATTTATAGACTTCAATTAAACCTTTTACTCAGTGAAGTTATCACTAAAGATGGCTAAATATGTACTTCTATAGGTTATCTGCGAACATGTAGTTTATAACTTGAGTTGCGTAGTTTCGAAAAATGTAAAAATTACGTAATATAGTAATTACTGTATATAACAATCTAAATAAGTCTGAGCTTTCATTGTGATTTTTTGACATTATGCGCATATACATGAACGCATGCGTACCAATTTTTTCGATGTAGTTGTAGCGAACTACAAAATCTTTATAGTCAACCCACCCTTAGTTTACTGTTATTTAAATACCCTTGTGTATAAGGATTGTTTAAACCTGGCCAAAAATGAGAAAACGTGGTGAACATTAAAGGGGTTTAATTAATGAAGGAAGGTGACAGGTGTTACTAGTCTATTCTTAAAATTATTTCTAGTTATTAAAAAGTTACAGATCATTATAAACAGCAGAAAGTAAAGATACAAGTTTAATGAGAAAACGTAAGTTCAACCTACCCCTAGTTGTACCCCCTGATTACGTTCAACAAGCAGTAAGGTGACCAAAATGAAGAAAACTGCACAGTTACAGCAATTCATGTCTTGGATACAGTGTTTCAGCTGCTTTACAATATTTAGCAAGAATCTTACAGCTCCTCGGTGTCTTTACTCAACGAGCACCAACTAATTCTGACCACGGAATATCATCTAACCCTCATTTAATGTTAATGTTGTCTTCCGGTATTGCAAAGCTGCATTGGATACGTCATAGTACACAAACATCGTTTGTTCGAGTTATAGTCTGTCAATATAATTTATATGATTTTCTGGAAGACCACAAAAATTTAAAACAACAAAATAGTTTGATTTTGAACTGTACATCACAGTTTAGGACTAGATTAATATGATCCTTGTTAATAATTTACTTCAATTCTACAATCAGCTGTAGTTTGATTGATTCTGGTGTGGTCTCCATAGTGAAAACCAACCTGATAAGCAGTGATGTGATCCATTTAATTCCTTGACAAGATATTTGCCTCGCTGGAACCCGGTCAGTTCTTAAAACTTCCTTTGCCGGAAACTGGTTGACCCTGATGAAGAATTTATTCTAGTTTACTGCAAGGATAAGTGGTAGCGAAATAATTGCAGTTTGCTATATTGTAGCGAGTTATAAGTAGCAAGTAGGTTTTGACTATTTTTTAATACAGTATAGCTGTAGCGAACCACAATTCTTGTGAAGTAGAAGCTCATGATTACATTTTTTCGATGTAGCTGTACCGAACTACAAACATTTTGTACTCAACCCACCCTATAGGTTTACTTTTATGTAGACGCCTACTCACGCCCATGTCAGGATTGTTTAAACCCGGCCAAAAATAGAAAATGTGGTAAACGTTTAAGACTTTAGGGGTTGATGAAGAAATGTGTTACAGAGCACAGTGAGTGAGAACAAAAATAGTGTAGTAGCCTATTCTTAAACTTATTTATTATATATAGGTCATGAATAATTAGCACTAGCTCTAGACGTTGCAGTGCTAAGATGCCGTTCAATTCTCACCGATAATGGTCAATACAGTATTAACAACAGTGGAAAAACTATATTATACGTTTATTTTGTGCATGTTACTATAGCTCTAAATCCGTAAGCCTTCACCTTCATGGATTTTCACCATTTGTAATTATTATAGCACCAATGCCGACCGGACTTGGATCGAAAGCTAGCTTTGCGAAACCTAGCTTCGCCAAAGCGGCGAGGCAAATAAATAATACAAAACAATTATATTTATTTTTACCATGCAAAACTACCAGGTCAAGCATATTATTGTGATCTATTATAATGGTATCAAGGTAAATAGGGTAAATCGAAATATTTCCAAAGTTTGAAACTTTAAAATATTTTTAGCTTCGGAGCAATTGCCTGCGTGAATGTCTATGTAATTTTAGCTTAAGTATTTTGTTTCTAATTTTCTTTGTTCAGAAAGAGGGCGGCAAAAAAATTCAATTCCAACAGAGAGGATGTACTCCCCCACAACCTCGCAATTGTAGTTAGTTATACGTGCAGTATTGAAATATCGTGTTCTATTTGAGTCTACCTAAAGTGGACATATGAATGCTGCAGCGAGACGTGTTTCGCAGAAAAGTTTCTATTAGATAAAATATGTGCGAACATGTTATACTCCATGTATATCTCTACTCCTGAACATCATTTGTTCGCGGGTCATACTGGGCATGCAGTCTCAATTCAGCTTGAGAGCCTGTTCGCAGGCTAGGCATGCAGAGAATCATACATTGACAGACTATCATAGTCTGTCAATGTATGATTTTCTGCATGCCCGGCAAACCTCAAAACTACAAAATAGAAGGACTTTGTTTGATGTGAAATAGAGAACCTTTGTTTGATGCAAAATAGAGGACCTTTGTAAATTGTTTGATCAGGGCGTACTAAAACACAGGGTGTTTTACAGCGCCCTGGTTTGATGTAAAACAGGCGCTATTAGGGGGAGGGCGAAAAGCCAGGAGGGGAGGCGAAGGCGAGAGAAAGAGATCGAGGGAAAATGGGAAGGGCGAAAAATAAATAGCGCCTGCACGAAAGTGGTAAAAATTGAGGCAGACAAGACAGTCAAAATTTGATTTTAGCGAACGCGCGCGAGACCATTCATTGGCTTTGAGTTGAATCGAAACTTTATCGAATCGAGTGTGTGAAACTTGTGGAAGGAAAATAAGGAACGCTGCCGAACTACATAAATTTGTAAAGGAAGGAGTTTCCTCAATGATAGTTAAATAACAAAACGATCCGGTTTCAGACATTAGCGAGAGAAGTAGAGTGTAGATGTAGCTGTAGCGAACTACAAAATCTTTATAGTCAACCCACCCTTAGTTTACTGTTATTTAAATACCCTTGTGTATAAGGATTGTTTAAACCTGGCCAAAAATGAGAAAACGTGGTGAACATTAAAGGGGTTTAATTAATGAAGGAAGGTGACAGGTGTTACTAGTCTATTCTTAAACTTATTTCTAGTTATTAAAAAGTTACAGATTATTATAAACAGCAGAAAGTAAAGATACAAGTATAATGAGAAAACGTAAGTTCAACCTACCCCTAGTTGTATCCCCTGATTACGTTCAACAAGCAGTAAGGTGAACAAAATGAAGAAAACTGCAAAGTTACAGCAATTCATGTCTTGGATGCAGTGTTTCAGCTGCTTTTACAATATTTAGCAAGAATCTTACAGCTCCTCGGTGTCTTTACTCAACGAGCACCAACCAATTCTGACCACGGAATATCATCTAACCCTCATTTAATGTCGATGTACGTTATCTTCCGGTATTGCAAAGCTGCATTGGATACATCATAGTACACAAACATCGTTTGTTCGAGTTATAGTCTGTCAATATATATGATTTTCTGATAGCCCACAAAACTTCAAAACAACAAAATAGAAGGCCTTTGTTTGATGTAAAATAGAGGACCTTTGTTTGATGTAAAATAGCCCTTTGTTTGATGTAAAATAGGCCTTTGTTTGATTTTGAACTGTACATCACAGTTTAGGACTAGATTAATATGATCCTTCTTAATAATTTACTTCAATTCTACAATCAGATGTAGTTTGATTGGTTCTGGTGCTCCATAGTGAAAACCAACATGATAAGCAGTAATGTGATCCATTTAATCCCTTGACAAGATATTTGCCTCGCTGGAACACGGACAGTTCTTAAAACTTCCTTGCCGGAAACTGGTTGACCCTGATGAAGAATTTATTCTAGTTTACTGCAAGGACAAGTGGTAGCGAAGTAATTGTAGTTTGCTATATTCTAGCGAGTTATAAGTAGCAAGTAGGTTTTGACTATATTTTAAAACAGTATAGATGTAGCGAACTACATTTCTTGTGAAGTAGAAGCTCATGATTACATATTTTCGATGTAGCTGTACCGAACTACAAACATTTTGTACTCAACCCACCCTATAGGTTTATTTTTATGTCACGCCCTTGTCAGGATTGTTTAAACCTGGCCAACAATGAGAAAATGTGGTAAACATATAAGGCTTTAAGGGTTGATGAAGAAATGTGTTACATGCAGAGCACTGTTAGTGAGAACAAAAATAGTGTAGTAGCCTATTCTTAAACTTATTTATTATATATAAGTCATGAATAATTAGCACTAGCTCTAGACGTTGCAGTGCTAAGATACTGTTCAATCGTTCTCACCGATAGTGGTCAATACAGTATTAACAACAGTGGAGGAAACTACATTATACGTCACGTTTATTTTGTGCATGTAACTATACAGGGTGTATCAAAATAAACGCAATTCATCTTTTGTGCTTAATAACTTTCGAAATACTATTTCTAGTTAAACGCTTTTAG